GAAGCCTGAGGATAGGGCTGAACCTATAACAGAATGGTGGCTACACCCTTGGGATCAAGCTGGCCCAGCTGGGCCCAGGTCTGCTCTCTAAAGCTGGACTGAGTGATATCTAAACTCTGCACCCAGGCTTGGGCCTGGGTACATGTGTCCTTGTCCATAGCCCTAATAGGACCCATGCTGTCCATGCCTGGAAGCACAGAGACTGCAAAAGGGTTGCAGGGCTGCATGTCTGTGTCCCCTAAAAACTTACATGTTGAAACCCTGATTACCAATGGGATAGCACTAGGTGAGGCCTTTGGGAGGAGATTAAATTTAGAATAGGTCTTGAGGGTAGAGCCCCCAGGATGGGATCAGTGTCCTTAGAAGAACAGGAAGAGACTGGAACTCATTCCCTCTGCCACATGAGGACACAGCAAGAGAACTGCCCTTGCCAGACACCCCAGCTGCCCATGCTTTGATCTTGGACTTCCCAGCCTCTGGAACCATAAGAAATGAATTTCTGTTGTTTCAGCCACCCATCTATGGCATCTTGTTACAGCAGATAACAAAGTGACTAAGATGGCTGGTGCATGCACCCCAGTCTATGTTGGCCCCGAGATGCTAGAAGGCACCATTTCTCAGGTTTCTCAGTCAATACATACTCTACCCTGACGTTGTCACAGACTCTTGCTGCCCAGCCAATTGTGGTGAGGGGGGGTGTAAGGGAGTGGGAGACACATGTGCTGGTGAAAGGCTCCTGTGCCATTAGGCTCTGTGCCATTTTCCCAGAGGCACAAAAACACTCAGGGCTCTGTGAATAATTTTCTTAGACTAACAGGACAACCAAGGCCCAGGTGGTTGCCCTGAGGAGGCACAGCAAGTCTGTACTCTCACTGGGCAGAGGAGCAGAGCCCTCCCCATGAGCTTTTGGAGCTCAGGGCAGGCCAGAGCTCTCCCCACACCTCAGATACCTCTGATCTCCTGGAGAATGCAGTGGTGTTGGCTTTCTACCATCTGTACACTGCTGGAAGAGGCTCTCTGTGCCTCTTGTGTCAGGCTGGGCTTTCAAGAATCTAGACACTGCTCTGAAGATGCCAGCCCTCCGGTGGAAGAAGAGTTAAAACCCAGATGGAGAAGGAGGCCAGTAAAAGACCCACCCTCCCCTCCGCACATCCCAGCTACAGAATCCCTCCTGACCCACTTTTGGGTTCTTCTCACGCCTCCACACAAACATCTGTGTAGCACATCCCCACGCTTGCACTGGTTTAGACTGGGGGTGGGGTGGGGGGTAGGAGGGAGGAACCCTTCCTTTCCACATTCACTAAGAATCAGACCTAGCATAGCCTTGAAAAACAAAGCTGAATTAGAGTCCCTGGATTCAAATCCCAATTCTGGAGACTGGGGATGTAGCTCAGTGGTAGAGCACTTGTCTAGCAAGCACAAGGTCCATCCCTAACACTGAAACAGCAACAACAAAAAGCAAAAACAAAAAGCCAAATTCCAGCTCTGACGCTCTCTAGCTATTTGATCTTTGGGTAAGTTAGTTAATTTCTCTGTGTCTCAGGTTTTTTGTTTTTCAGTGCTAGGGATTAAACCCAGGGCCTTGTGCATGCTGAGCTACAACCCCAGATTATGCTTTCTTTGACCATAAAATGGTAGACTCTAAAGGAACAATAACTATCTTACAGGTTGCTGAAAGACCATGCATAGAAGGCACCTACTGTAGAGTCTGGGAGGTAGTAGGGCTCACTGCCATAAGCCATTTACTACGGATTAACCTGTGCCTCTGGATGCCAAGCACTGTGGTAGACACTCACAAACATAATTAAATTTTAATGCAAATGGAGTGCAAAGTAGAAAAGAGCCAAGAAGGAAAACAGTTCTTCCTAGTCAGGCTCTTTGGAGTCTCCCCTGAAGGTGCTGTGTAATGGGCCATATCCTCTCAAGTGTTTGCTTCTGCCAGGCCCTGCATACTTTGTTCCAGAGACCTGCAGTAAAGTCCTGCACAGTTCTGCAGGAAGTGAATTTGGAGATAGGAGCATTAGGGAGCAGGGTTCAGAAAATCCAGAAGCTACCCAGGGCAGGGTGCAGCTGGCTTTATGCGCCAGGTTGCCAGGCCCAGCCCACAACCTCCCCCATGTTCTCCAAACTGAATCTCCTCCACCCTGGCAGCAGAGCGCCAGGCATTAGAAGAGATCTACCACACATGGATGTGAGAGGCCTGGACCCACTGGAGGGGAGGATTACTCAGCTGGCACGTCCTGCCTCCCTGATAATCCTAGTGTTCAGAGAAGCACTGCTAAGCTCCGTGCCCTCCTCACCCGCTCTGACCATGACCAATTCCGTATCCGAGCAGTGCCGTGAATGTGCTTCTTCTTTTCTGCTTGCCTGACCCTTCAACACAACAACTCCCTCCATCTTCCCCAATTCAATTCTACCAATCATTTAATGTGGCATTCCCTCACCTACACCTCCCTCCTGTTCCCAGAGCATAGCATACCCCTATGCTCACCACCCTCCTACCCAGGCAAATTGGAGGCCTGTGCTATCTTGTGCTTGAACCTTGTTCACAACCTGGCAATCCCTTAGGAGTTCTAAAGAAACTTCTTTTTCTCCTGTGAGAAGTCAAGCTTTTCACATCCTCAAAGGAGCTGGTCTCATGGAAATGTTATGTGCAGATGGATGCTACTGTGCCTGATTGGAGAGCTTTCAACCTGTAGGGTGAGAAGCAGAGCCTCTATTGGCAAAGGAAGAACAAGAAATAGCTGTAGTGCTGGCAGAGTCCCTGTGTGCAGCCTGTGCACTCCACAACTCCAGGGGGCGCCATTCACCTTGTGGCACCACTACAATTATGCAGTGCAGTGGCTCTGAGATAGCAGCTTTCTTCTTGTTTTTCTGCAGAAGCTGCCAACAGATTCTCACAGCCAGGCCCTCCTGCCCAGTCCTCTTTGTCCTTCTCTCCCTGACCCCATCCTCCTGCAGCCAGGACTTCCTTAAATGGAGTTTTATAAGAAATCTGTCCTACCAAAGCCTGAAACTCCCTCTCCCCCCAGTCAATACACACTGTAAAGCTCTTCATGAGCCCTATGGGGCAGGTCCTGCAGAATTTCAACCTTGGTGCCTTTCTTCTGATGAGCAGGGAGGAAGGGGGAAGTGGTTGGCATCAGTACAGGGAGACAGGTGGGCAGCCCTGAGCTGGGGAATCAAACAGCCAGACATTTATTCTCCCCCACCGGGCTGGCTACTGGAAGCAGGTGGAGGAAGGTAGAAGGAATCTTGTTTTTAAAACCTTCACTGTTCTGATTAAACATTTCTTTTTCCTCTGACCTTCACTAGTCCCATTTTGGTGGATCAAACAGCCAGCGAGCCGGAGGGAGGCCTGGACCAGTGACACATGGATTCCTTCTGGAAGGACCAGCCTGCGGCCGCCCCCTCACTACTGGGCCACAGGGCTGCAGCCCAGGCAGCGGCAGGAGACTGCGCTAATCCCGCCTGCGCCTGCAGGTGCCTCGGCAAGGTCTTGCTGAGCTCCAGGTTCCCTTGGCTGGGCCGGCCCTGGGTGGGGCAAAGATGGAGATCAACGGCCCACTCTGGAGTCCAGGCCACTCGGGACTTGACGGCGTGTGGTTCCTCCTTCCCTCTGCCACTTTGACAAAAACATCCAAATTTCTGCCTCTTCCCATAGTGGGGCTGTACACCATAGGCAGCATGTGTTTAAAACAAATTCGTAAGGAACTTGTGGATGCTCACAGTTTAAGAAAAAGTGAGGACGGTCACCGAGCGATCCGTGTTGTACTAGGTGGGTCCGAAGAGGGGTTAAGAACGCGGGTCCTGGAAGAGGCTGGCTAGGGAGTCCGGGCGTCAGCTAGCGCTAGGTCGCCGGAAGTAGCCACATCTCCTCTGGCGCATCCGGGCCCATCCCCCATCTCGCCCCCTGCGGTCTCAGGGCCCAGCCACGCCCTCCTCCCTCCCTTCCCCTCTGCTGCCCACGCCACCCCCAGGCCCGGAGGCACTAGCGGCTCTGCCGGAACGCGCCTCTCATTTCCCCTCTGATCTACAGGTGCCGGTAAACAGAGCTGCGGCGCCGCCGGGCCGTCCGCAGCTGCCTCCCCGCCCCCCACCCGCAAAGTTCGGCCCAAGGTTAAGCCGGGGCTTGGGTGGCCGTCTGCCAGGGGACCCCAGACCCAGCTTCTGGGCTGTCACCTCTGCTTCTTAAACCCACTGGGTTAATCCATCCCTTGCCTTGGGCCAACCCCTTCCCTGATTCAGGAAAACCAGCCTCGGTTCGTGCGCGCGCCCCTCTATGTGGGGACCCCAGACCTGGCTCGAGCGGCTACCCGGAGATGGCCTCGGGCATTTTCACCGCCTGTCGCCCATTATGGTCACGCCTTCCACCACTTTGCCTTATGAGCGTTGCTAGGTCCACCCCCCACCCCCCAACTCAAAGCCCCGGCATCAGTCTCTGCCCTTTCTGTCTGCCTCCCCCAAAACCTAAGGTTGGAAGAGTGGGCACCCACACGAGAAGGTGCTACCTTCCCTGCCAGCCCCACCCAGACCTGCGCCTTCTGCCTTCTGCAGTGCCCCGTATGTGGAGCCTGCAGCATCCACCCTGCTGGGGCCAGGCCCGGGGGAGGCTCGCAAGGGGGGAGCGGGGAGCCCAGCCGCAGTCGGGGCCCCGACCCTGGCACCCAGCACTGCATCTCCGCGCCCGGCCGGCGGGAGACCCTGTCGCGAACGAGTGCCCCTGGAGCGTCTCCTCGCCAAGGGACTCAGCCGGGGGGTTGGGGGGGTGCGCGGGATTTGGGGGAGGAGGGGTCCCAAGGCCGGCAGCCGCAGGGACACGGGGCGGGGAGGGGGCGCCGGGCCAGGACTCCCGGTGTTGTTTACTCTCGGCGCAGTCAGCCGGCTGACTGTGGAAGTCGGCAGCTGCGATGCGCAGTGGTCGCGTCCGCTCCCCACGCGGGGTCTCTGCTTCCAAACCCGCGCTGCCCACCCCGGCCCTCAGCGCACTGCGGACTCACGTCTCGGAAGCGGTTCCAGTGCTTGATCTTGCCGCTGTACTGCGAGATGGACGACAGCCATTGCTCGTCCTCCATAAAATTGCCGGGGGTCTCGCCCTCTTTGATCCCTTTGGCATCGCCTTCGGCCAGAGCGGCTGCGGCGAGGAGCAGCAGCGGCAGCGCCAGCCGCCCGAAGCTCCGGGCGCGCATCGTGGTCTGGATTGGACTTGGGGGGTGGGGGTCTTGACTTCTACAGGATTTTAATGCCCTTCCCTCCACCCCGCCGTTGGCGAAGCAAGCGCTGCCGTCCTCCTCTGCCCTCCTCCTGCGGTCTGACTCCAGTGGCTGACGGAGGGTGGGTCGCGGCTGAAATGTGACCTGGTTAGGAGATGCACTTGTCTTAAAAAGCCCAGCGCTGGACGCGGAGAGGGAGAGAGAGAATCAGAGAGGCTGCGCCAGCAGAGGCTGTGTCTGTAACTGTAGCATCGGCATCACGTTTGACATCATCATACCTGGCTTTAAAAAAAAAAAAGGGAGGGGGTAGATTTCAAAGCGGAACGCTGGATCAGAGCGCCCAAGCCAGCCACCCGCAGCCCAGTGCAGCCCAGCCCAGCGCTCAGGGAATTGCAGACCAAGAAAGCACAATCCTGAGATGTCACTGCTGTCTGTTCAAGGATGGCGAGCAAGAAGGGCCCCTGGGTTTCCCCAGAGAAGATGGGGTTGGAGAGAAGACACAAAACTCTCCGGTTACAAAGCCAGCCAGGCTCAGGTGTCTAAAAGGGAATCTGGCTATAGTTTTTTTTTTTTTTTCCTCCCCTTGTCTCCCACCCCCTGGGACCACATCCCTGACAGCTGGCTTCCTGGGAGTTACGGCTCTACGGCTCTACCGTAATGGGTGGCTTCCTTAAGACAAAAGCCATATAACAACTGGCTGCCTCCGAACTATCGCACCCCAGCCGGACACACTCTTTTCAAGGAAAGGCTTGAGCACTGAATGGCTGGTAAAACAGGGGCAGATGTCCTTCCCAAGCAGCTTTTCAGGGGCTGCCACCCCTTTTGTTAGCTCTTCCTAGGGCAACCCTAAAAAGGCAAATGTCTGGCTATTTCATCTGCTTTCAGGCTGCAAATCTGCAAAAGCCACATTTGCTCATGTTTTTGACTTCATTGATTTTAATTAGCCATTGGGGAAGGGGGTAAAGTGTGTGTGTGTGGGAAGAAGGCTAGTTTTGTTGGAGGTGTTTAGGTTTTTGTTAAAACCGTGACCGTGGTCATTGCCTATAGAAACGTGTTGGCATACTAGCTAGGAAGGCTGGAGGCTGAACAGAGCCCCAGGAACAGAACAGAAATGGGGTGAGGTTTCCATTACCCCCAAAGAGGAAACATAATCTGGCAGGACAAAACATATTGAACTTTTGGAAACCAAGCCCTAGATTGTGTTTTTATAAAAGACTTGGCTGCTGTGATCTTTATAAAAAAAAAAAATCAAAGGCAATGAAACTCATGATCTTAATCAGTAGGAAAAAACAGGTGACAAGGTTCACAGTCACCCTGAGTCTGGCCTGCCTGGGAACTTTTAATGTCTCAGTAGATTGGGCTGGGGTCCCCTTGGGAAAACAGAAAACAATAGTTGCCTTCCATGTTTTCTTATTTACTCTGCAGTTGGATTTAATGGTGGCACTACAGCAGCCCCTGGCCACTGATGTCTTCATCTCACAACAGATGAAGAGCCATCCGGGGTGGTGTCACTGTGTAGTGGAGAGCTCAGCCTGCTGTCATATAGATTGGAGGGAGGTGGGAGAATTTCATTTTCAACCACCTAGCTCAAAACATGGCTGTGAAACACAAAATTATATTCTAAGTGTCTGGACATAGTAGGCATTAAAAAAATGTTAGTTCCCTCCGGTTGGAAAAAGAAAGTTATTAACATCCTATAGTTGTGAAGATTTACCAAAGTTTGGTATCTTTTCCCACCATCTCAATCCTAATTGCTTAGCAAAGCTAACTGTGTATCTTCAAGGCACTGAGGAGACAGGGCTAGATACCATAGCTTCCTGATTCTGGTATGGAGTTACCAAAGCAGTAAGGCCCTAACTGTCTCCAGACCTGTGAAGATGCAGGTCAGTAAGACAATAGCTGTCCCCAGACCCGTGAAAAAGTCAGTGTTTTCCACACTCCTGGGCAGCAACTCCAGGGGGACCTGCCTTCTGCAGGGCCTTTGAGGTGGTCAATACTAGTCCTGTACAGGAAGCAAGTCACCATAGCCCCAAACTGTTAGGTAAGCCAAAGGTAAAGTGATTTAGGAAGGACAGACCACATTTCCAGGTGATGGGCATAAGAATTATAGAAAATGACCAGCATCTTTAGTCTGTAAAGAAGAAAAGGTTTTTCTAATTTTTGAGAGAATTACTGGCAAGTCAGCCCTTTTCAAACCACTGACACGAAACATAAAGAGCTGTGAGGTGTATTTGTTAAATGGTACATACATTTTATGCATTTTTGTTTGCATTTAGTATTTAGCAATGCAAAAAGAGGAATCTTAGTTTTCTAATAAACCCAAATCTAGCTACATCTTGAATACCATCTAATCCCATTTCTAGATGCCCAGCAAGCAATAAATACACAAAAGACGTTCACTTTAGAATGTTCATAATGGCCAAACCTAGAAACCAATTCCATGTCCACTAGGCAGGAACTACTTAAGTTTAAAACTGTATCTACAGGTAGGTGTGGTGGTGTAACTGCAATTCCAGCACTTGGGAAACTGAGGCTCAGGCAGGAGGATTAACAGCATAGCAAGACTCCATCTCAAACAAAGCAAAGAAAGTATCTACAAAGGATCACGGTGCAGACATTAAAAATGATGTAAGCCAGGCGCTGATTGACGCATACCTGTAGCTACTCAGGAGGCAGAGATCAGGTAGCCCCAGGCAAATAGTTCGCAAGACCCTATCTCAAACCCATCACAAAAAAAGGGTTGGTGGAGTGACTCAAGTGGTAAGAGTACCTGCCTAGCAAGGGTGAGGCCCTAAGTTCAAATGCCAATGCTGCAAAAAAAAAAAAAAAGATGTATATTTCTATTGAAACCAATGTGATCAACTGCCTATTACTGCATAAGAAGAGCTTGTTACAAAAGATCACAAATTAGGGACTGGTAAAAAGATAATATATAAGTAGTAACTTTTAGATTCTAAATAATAGAATTTCCACTTCTATTAAAATTTAGTATTACATTTTCCAAAGACAAAACTCCAAACAAAATTCCTGTCAGCATGAGTCATGATTCTCTGACACCCAAAAAAAGACATCTTCAGCCCTGGCCAAGGCTGCCTAATGGCTGGTGAGAGATGGGCTAGGGAGACATCCAGCTCCAGGATGAGACAGGGCATTGGGCTCCATGCTTGTGTCACAACTCAGTGCTATCCACGGGAGCATTCATCCCCATGTGCCATCTAACAACTCAAGGTGAATTGAAATCTCAAATAAAAAGTGAGTACCACCAGCAGAAACTGGAGAAAAAACTGACCCAGTAGCACCACTAAGTAAGTCCCAGGTGAATGACACAGCTATGCCTGTGAATAAGTGATGACAACATTGTCTCCCCCATACACTGACTAAGGGGCTCCAACTAGCTCTGTGTGATAACACTAACAGGAAACACAGACACCCTGGAAATAATTTATTCAGGAATGGTATATGCAGTCCAGCTAACACACAAATCTCTGAGTGTTAGACATGATCCTCACTATGTAGTGACCTTCATACATATGGTACAGGAGCAGACTTAAAGAACAGGAAGTAAGAATCAACAGTAAGGAAAGGAAGAATGAGAGGAAAGGACAGGAGAACACAAAGTGGGAGAGAGCAGCGGTACCCCAGTACAGCACCTGTAAGGACTGATGGGCAGGTGGACACAGCCACACCAGGAGTACCCCTCTTCTGCTGGTCTGCAAGAAGTGAGCACCTCCTGGTGCTGGCAAGCTTCTTACGAACCTGCACACTCCTGCTGACACCATCACTATTTCTTTGCTGCTGTGCTGAGAAGGAAAGCGAAAAGAGCTACAATAGCTTAACCCCTCAGGGACATGAGAAGGTGAGGATGGGAATGGGATGGAGGAACAGGAACCCAGAAAATAGATTGAGGACCAGTTTAGGCTGGTCTCTCCCTTACCTCACCTGCCATGACTCACTCAGCATCACTGATATCCTATATTAACATTAGGACCCCTCCCCATACACCCTGAGCTCCTCCAGTTTCAGTTGAGGACCAATTTATAAGAAAATGGAAAGATCAAACAAAATAATGTTACCAGTTCTTTTGCTACAGATAAAGTTTTGGATAGGAAAGGAACCTTGAGGAGATGTCTGTACACCCATGTTCTTACCAGCACTATTCACAATAGTCAAGAGGTGAAGCCACCTAAATGTTTGTTGTGGATGAGTGGACAAACAAAAAAGGAAGAAAATGCTGTCATACGCTACTCTATAGGTGAACTTTGAGGACATTATAATACTAAGTGAAATAAGTCAATCACAAAAAGACAAACACTGTATGCTTCCAGTTATGTGAAATATTCAAAGTAGTCAAAATCATGGACAAAAAGTAGAATGGTGGTTGCTAGGGAATGGGAGTTCCTGTTTTGTTTTTTCCTTTGATGGGTCTGGGTTTTGAACTCAGGGCTTTTGTGCTTTGCAAAACAGACGTCTAGCAGGGCGCTGGTGGCTCACGTCTATAATCCTAGCTACTTGGGAGGCAAAGATCAGGAGGTTTTGAAGCTAGCTCCAGGCAAATAGTTCTCAAGACCCTATCTTGAAAATACTCAGCAAATACACACACACACACAAAGGGTTTGGCAGAGTGGCTTAAGTGCTGGATCACCTGCCTAGCAAGTGTGAAGCCCTGAGTTCAAACCCCAGTACTGCCAAAAAAAAAAAAAAAAAAAAAAGTAGGTGCTCTACCACTTGAGTAGCACCTCCAGTCTGAAGTTAATGTTTTAAGAGTGCAGAGTTTCAAGTTTTACAAGATGAAAAGTCATGGCAGCAGTGGATGGCGGCAATGGTTGTACAACATTACGTACGCACTGAATAACACTGGACTGTACACTTAAAATGGTTAAGGCAATGTATTTTATGTTAGATGTAGCTTACCACACCAAAATAAACAACAACCAAAAATCCCTGAAGAGGAAAAAGAAAAGAACAAGTCAAGGGAACAGGTAAAAATTCCCCTTGTGTCCACAAGTATCTTGGCTGGCAGTGTGGTGACTATGGATGACCATCAGAGGCAGTGGGAAGTTGGGGTGGAGGAGCCACCCAGGAAAATCAGTATCCAAATTTCCCCAAACACATGTCCCTTGGCAAGTGAAGTGAACACGTTCTTCTTCAGCACCTGTGAGGACGTTGAATTCCCACCTCAGGAGAAGTCAATTTGTCCACAGGAGGCGTAGTTTCCAAAGCTGTCCACTGTGAACCTCTGAGAGATGTGAATGGAATTGAGCTTTAGGGAACCAAAGTAGAAGTTCTCAAACAACTGAAAAGCAAAAATTAAAAACCAAATGAATATTGAAAGAGAATTATAGATGAAAATATTAAACACCAAACTGCAACAATTCCAACAAACCTTTCAGTTTTCTTCTTGTTATTCTGAATAATACTCCTGGAGAAGAATGGAAGGGGGTGGAGTGAGAAAAGAACAGTCACAGTTCTTCCCTCTGATTAATTCTAAAGTCTCCCTGAGAAAATGCAATAGAGAATCTACTGAGCAGTTGATTCCAAGAACTGAGCAGAGGAGCAAGAACTCACAAAGCTGCTTCTGACTTTGTTACTGACCATGGAAGAACCATTATAGTAGCCTGCTTTGTTCCACCCAGGATAAAGCTTGATATAACACATCCTCCTACCTTATCAACAACATTTATTAGGAGCGCTGACTAACATAAATAGAAGATGAGGCTCCTGACTCACAAATGATTCGGACAATCCAGTGAGGGGCACACAAACCCACCCGAGGAACACTTCTGCCAGATGACAGAACAAATGTGAATGATCATACTTACAGAAAACATTTCACTAGAGGGGAGTCAAGCCAGCATTCTCAAGGAATGCTCTTTACTGTGCACCTCTACTTTATAAAAGCTTCCAAAGGGGTTGAGGGAAGGAGGGACCTGATCTTGTGAGTAGCACATTTATAAGGCAGAATCAGAAATGACATGAGAATTTATCCTAGGAAAATGAAGGTACACCATTTGGATGTCAAGGAATATAGGACACAAGAACTGGGTTTTCTTAAGAGTCAGTAAGGACTTCAAGAAAGCTCACTCTCTTGCTCTCTCTTCTCTCTCTCTCTCTCAACCTCCCAACCCCCCAACCCAACAATGCTTCAGTGGAACCTAAGGGTGGGACTTTCTCTTCACTCATTTTTATACTACCTCCTGTACCCATGGAACTTCAGTCATTGTTGCTTTTCCTCTTCCTGCAATTAATTAATGGCCTAGAAAAATGCCTGAGGTTCATTAAAGGCTAACTTTACAAAGCCCAGTAAATATTGATTCTTCAACATGACATCAACTTGACCCCAAAGATCTATTTGGAGGTTATATGCTGCACTGTCTTGTCTTTCTGAAAGGTGACCAGCTCTCACCTGCATCGATTTACACAATTAACTTCTCTTCCTGGCTTAAGCAGCCTGTTCAAATGATATCCATCCTTTTCCGTAAAGAAATTCAGCCTGAAACAGTTAGCTGCTAATCCCCTTGCTGAACATTAATTTGAAGTGAAAACCATGTCAGTGAGACTGGCAGATTTATAGCTTTGCAAACTGAAGCCTTCTAGGTACAGAAAAGACAAAACCAAGAGGCAACAGAAGAAGAGACAAAGCAAAGCTAAACAGGAACTCAACACTTTCAAGCAAGTTACTTTTTAAGGACTGGAAGTCTATGGGTCCTCTATACTCTCTGTTCACCCATGTTTCCAAGTAATGAAGACACCACATGAAGATCTGGAAGTGACCTGCCTAGGACTCCATTTGGCTTTATGCAGACCTCCAGACGGCAGCATCTGCCAGAAGAGAGTCTCTTGCTTCATTCAGGTTGAAAGGAAGTAGTAAACATGGTAATCCAGTTAGCTGGATGTGATTTTAGTGCAGTGTTTGGAAACATTAAGAGAAAAAACATAAATTCTCCCTCTAAACTAAGGCCAATGCAGGTGGAAGAGGGAGTGCTGAAGTCAGATTCTAAGCTTATATCAAGCATACTGGGCATGTATGACAATGGGGACATGACCACTCACTATACTAACACCATGAGGGATAAAAGATCACAATGGGCAAGGATATAGTAAGACGAATAGAAAAAGTACCTTATAAATTGTAAAATGTTACTGAGACTCAGGAATTTCTAGTGGTGGTTTAAAAAATAGTTTTGCCCACATTAACCATGGGTCATTTTACCTTCCTAAGTTGCCATCTTCTTTCCTAGCTTTGGATAACATCACATCAAATGGATTTTTCATCCAGAAGTTCCTCATACTGGCCTTATCTTCATTTTAGCCTTTCCTAGTTTTGTGTTCTTGTCCTCTGAATGCTTGTGATGATTTTGTAACAGATGATTTAGAAATGATTTTTCAGTTATTTCATTGTTTAGTCATTGTTGTATTTTTAGTGTTAAGCCTTTCTGTTAGTTCTATCAATCATTTCTAGTGACTCATCACAATCAGCTCTGTAGAGGGAGTAGCTGAATCCCACTACATGCTGTAAGAGTATCTAGTAGTCTGCATGTGATTAATAAATATTTGTTGGGGGACTGGGGATGCAGCTCAAGTGGTAGACAGCCTGGTTAGCAAGTACAAGGCCCTGAGTTCAAACCCCAGTGTTGCAAAAATAAAAGGATGGGGAGGTGTTTGTTGGAGCTGGGCACAGCAATTCATTTCTGTAATCCTAGCTATTTGGGAGGCTGAAATCAGGAGGATGGTGGTTTAAGGCATGTGGGCAAAAAGTTCACAAGACCCCATCTCAACTAATAGCTTGTGTGGTGGCACATGCCTGTCATTCCAGCTGTAGGGGAGGCTGAGATCAGTAATCTGGGCAAACAGTTCATGAGGCCCCATCTCAACAGAACAAGCTGGGTGTGGGGACATGTGCCTATCATCTCAGCTACTGTGGAAAGTATAAATAGGGTCATGTCTAGGCTGGGCTCGGCAAAAAGCAAGACCCTATTTTAAAAATAAACTAGAGCAAAAAGGGTGGAGGTGTGGCTCAAGAGGTAAAGTACCTGCTTAGCCCTGAGTTCAAAACCCAATGTCCCCCCCCACACAAAAAAAAAACCACTATGGGAAGCAAAGAAAGTGTGCAATAAAAGGTATAGGTCATCAATAAATCCAGCAGGAGATAAGGAAACAATGGGCGCAGAGGGCTGGCACCTAGGAAAACCATCTAGAGGAGACAGGATCTGAATGAGTATAGTGGGCAGGACAAGAAGACAGTTTAGATGTTTGAAACGGTCCTGAAAAGAGGCAGTAAGAAAGTCATAAGAGGGAGAAACAGATTAAGGGGGACCCTGAAGGTCAGGGTCATAAATTAGACTGCATTCTAGCTGGTAGGAAACCACTGACAGTCTCAGAACAGGTGCATGAAAAGCACATTTTAGGGAAACTGATCTGATATAGTATATTGTGCTGACTAGAGAAGAAAACTAGAGAAAGGCAAGGAGACCATGCAAGTGGCTCAGTCATGAGGGAGATTCTGAAACAGAAGCAGTGGGAAGACTAGAGCAGATGTGAAATACTAGGAATGAGACACAGAGAAGACTTGGTGACTTTCTGGGTGAGAAGGCAATAAGGAAAGCCAGGGTAAGGAGGGGGGGTATAGGAGGGTGCCACAGGGCATTTCTGAGAGGGAACTATTTTCTGGGGGAAATAAAATTCAGGTCTGTTTACACACTATGGTTGTATCGCTAGCCAGATATGTCTCAAGCCCTTCTCCAATCTATAATTTTCCCGATAGGCTGATAATGTGCATTAACATGAAATATGCAGTGCTTTTAGGTGGAAGTATATCACCATAAAGAGCTTTACAGCTGTCCTTTTTTTTTTAAATTGAGTTGTACTTTATATATTAAAATGAACCCTTTGTGTTACAAATTAAAAATATATTTTCCTCCATTTTGACTGCTTATGATAGTGCCCTATGTCAATTTAAATTAAAATTTTTATGAACTCACACTTATCATAATGAGATTTTTAAAACAAAATGACTTGGTGCCAATACTGTTACATATTAAAAGACCAAGGTGAATAAGAAAAATATATTAGTACTGACAACAACACTAATAAAGTAAAGATAGTAAGAGCCAATAATTTATTGAGCCTATGTACCAGGTTAGTTATGCTGAGGGCTCTCTACCATTGTCTGATTACATCCTCACAACTCCAAGAAACAGATGCTATTATGAATTCTCATTTTATATTTGAGACTAAGGATTGGAAGGCTAAAGTAACTTGCCCAAAAGCACAGAGAAAGTTGATGGGGTTCAGGACACATCACCCCACATACACACTGTGGCATTTGAGGAAAAGGCAGGAGCAGGAAGGTCTGTTGGATCTTCCACTCCCCTTCTCCCCTGAAGCAAGTCCTAAGACCCTCATTGAATGGGCTAAGCGTGCAACTCAAGTGGTAGAATGCCTGCCTAGCAAGCATGAGGCCTTGAGTTCAAACCCCAGTACTGCCCCCTGTCAAAAAAACCCCTAAGATCCTCATTGGAGAGGTTCCCTTCCCTATATCTGGAGGTAAAAAACATCTTTATCTGTGAAGACACAGGATACAGAGAAGGGTCTGAACAAAGAGGCCTTGCAAACGTTGGGGCTCAGAAGACCGTATCACCAAGTATAGTACTTTAGAATTACAAGTACTCTGAGCTGAAGGAAACTGGAAGGCCTTAGAAGCTTCCTTAAAATCAAAGTGCCTCTCCCACCATGCCTTGTTTCTCTCCTTTAGGTGCAGGTAGGTGCTCTCCTTTTCTGACTGAAGAAACTTCTTCCAAAAGAAATGCAACTGTCTTAAGCCCCTCCCTAGCAGTCTTATCACATCACCAGAGAAGACAGAGAGAGGAAAAGTTCTCACCATGCCCAGACAGATTTTTCACCATTTTCCTCAGGACAGCTGAGGGGTTGCAGAAAGACTTCATCTGCACTGTAAGACTGCCTCTGTGCAGTGCAGTTCTACCCCATGCCTCCTTCAGACCCCAGAGGAACTTTATCCCAGTCATGGTTGTTTTTCCACCACCTGGCTCCTAAGTTTCATATTTTGTATGGCTCCCATGTACATTAATAAATTGTATGCTTTTTCTCCTATTAATCTGTCTATTGTCAGTTTATTTCAGCAGACCTAAAGACTTGAACCTTCAGAGAGGGAGAAATTCCTTTTACCCCTCCATTAAGTCATCCCCCCCCGCATTTATTGCCATTAGATTATACCCTTTTACACTTCTATATTTCTCCATGACTATTCATTCTTTATCAAACTGAAGCAAAAAAAAA